CGTTTGGAGGGATTCAGAATAAAAACAGGGATGAGTATCGTGCTAGTAAAACATGAAGTCAAAACCAATAGGGAAAATTATTAGAAGATCCAATATTAACATAATCAGGCAAGTTCGAAACTTCTGATCGATAATATACATGCTGCTACGCTTATAGATGTACGTGCTCTCATGTACACAGGTCATAAACCTCAGAGCTCGTTTGTTTGACTTTATGATCGTTGAACATTTAATACGTTGGAAATTCGGTTCGCATCCGGTCACAGTGTCGTAGACATGCTATATCATTCTAATCAAGGTAACAAGTTGCGCGAGTAACGGGCGGGAGACTCGGTTGAAAAGTTGGCGTTACGCTCGAAGACCTCTCCTTGTGAAAAGTTCATCTCTGAGCTACTCTGCCTTCTGAACACATCCTCCGGAAGTACGAGGAGAAAAGGAGACGCGCGATAGCGAACTTCTTCGTAGAAAGGGCCAGCCCCGATGGTGATTTCCTTTACGGCGGAAAGGGATACGGTTAATAAGGACTTATGAATATTTCTCGCTTCATTCATAACGAAAAATTATGATTAAAAGAGTTTGCAAAGCCTTTTATTGTATCTCCAAAAATTGTACACAGTCTAATGAAAAATTTATACATATATATAATAAATACAATGTAATATATGAAAATAAAATGCAATTTGAAACGATACATCGCGTAATTTGTTTATATGTATATAGTATAAACAGTTTTCAGATGAAAATTAATATCATATAAAGCAATAATTTTCGTAGTATTTGTAGTATCATTTTTGCTCGGTTGAATTATTCCATTCAAAATCTACTTAGCTTCTTCTGGCTGTTAACTGATTAACAGATCTCCTTCGGAATAATCTTCTTCCCATTGCACAGCAAGCGCGGATCAGTTTCTCTAAAAGAAATACAGCTGCAACGGCGTCTATATCTGCAGAACAAACTTTCCCTCGGACTTCGAATCGTTTGTCTGTATACGGGTTTCCAAGGATCGTTAAAAACTAATTTCTATCCTGTTCTTCAAAAGCTCTTCGGATATGATACGTCTGCAGTTGTCGAGAAAAAGTGTAAGAACTTCCGACTCAGAATTTCAACATTTAAGCAAACGGTGCTCGAGTTTCTCTTGCTACAACAGTCTCTATTATTTATCCAACTTCGATCTTCAATGTACGTTACGAGTGAAGGGTAACATATAACTGTAATAATAATATAGTAGCTTTAAGCTAACATTCAGCAGAATTTCATTTTCGTTTTGCTTCCATCTCGTCATGCTATTACTAGAAGAGTT